TTTGGTGGCTTGCATAGCTGTCTGAAATCCAAGGGACACAGTCACGATCCCCCTGCCGTGTGTTATTCTGGTGACGTGCATGCTGCTAGATGACTGGTAGCTTGAAAATGCCTCATCTGCTGTCCTTTGGAGATGCATTCAACTGTTCCCCTGGTTTACATAACCTCAAAGCAATTTGCTTTCATGGCAGAACACGCTTATTCATTCTATTTTAACTGTGCATTGAGCTATAAATAATGTCTCCTTGCAGATAAGAATCTATTGAATTTTTAAATTTTTTTTTCTTTTTACTTTTGGAAAATTTTCTCCTGACCCCAGCTCCTGAAGGAGCCTTCCCCAGCCTTAGCACTGAGGTTGCCAGATTGGCTTTCTCCTGCCAGGCAGCCATGAATGGTGTCAGCCGCAGGCTGGCTGCTACTTCCCCGGCACCACCTCCTCATTGTTCCTGCTTGGGCTGCAGCAAAGATGAAAGGAGCACTCAGTGATGCACGGCTGAGAGCACTGAAGGGTCAGGAAAACTGGTTAAACCAAGGATTTCCCCTTCTTCTGACCAGCTGCAGGGTAACATCTCCTGCATTATCTCCAAACCTTCTTCGTGCAGTACATTCACTTCAAAGAGTCATAGCCTGGGCTGTTGTCCAGCCAAATGTTCTGCTGTTCAGTGTCTCCTTTTTCTGCTGCTCATTCTAGCATTTTGCTAATTTCACATGAGTAGCACTTGCCCTGTGCAATGGAGCCCTGACCTGATGTCCTCCTCATCCAGAAACCTGCCCAGAGCTGGAGCACAGCAGGAGCTGGTGAGGTGAGAAGCAAAGGTATGTTCTCAGAGCTGATGCTGCTGACACCTGCATCTGGTCCAGGCTGCAGCACAGCAGTGAAGTGGCCGCTATTTTGGCAGCTGATTTTCTGTGGTGCAGATAACTTTGCTGTAGATTTGAATGTTGGTACTGTTCTGGAGAAGTGCTGTGATGGCAGAGGACCTGGGCTGCTGTAGAAGCAGAGAGACTTTGACATCATGGAGAACTAATAAAAGTCTCAAATTTGAATAGTTTAGTGTGTTTTAACAATGATTACAATCTACTCTTTTTGTTGTACATGTTATTGGTCATCCTCTGTAAAAATGCGCTGGGAGCTCTTCATACCACTTACCTGTGGCCCTTTAGCAAAGGCTGTAGGAAAACTGAGGCTACTCTCCTGGGTCATGAAGAAGTATTATGTTCCTCTGTTAATAAAAAATATCCACAGGAGAGAGCATTATGTAAGTACCATATATATAAAATAATTGAGGTGGGAAGAGCTCTCTAGAGGTCTTTAGCACCCCCAACTAAGCAAGGTTAAAGTCAGCTCTAGATGCTCAAGGCCTTTGTTCAACTGGGTTTTCAATATCACCAAGGAAGGACAAGCATGGCCTCTGCTTCCTGTGCCACTGCTTTATCACTCTCATGGTGAAGACTGATTCCTCATGATCAGTCAGGATTAAACCCTTTTGCTGTGCAGCTCTGAGAAGGCTCTGGCTCTGTCTTCTCTGTAACCCCATCAGGGAGCTGCAGACACCAATGGGATCCCCATAGCCATCTCTTCTTCAGGGTGAATAGGCCCAGCTCCTTCAGCTGACCCCGAATGTCCTGCGCTGCAGCCCCTGGCCAGCCTGGTGGCCTCTGCTGGACTTGTTCCCATGTGTCAACATCTGTCCTTGCGGTGGGGCCAAGTACAACTACTTCATCACATAAATAAAGGAAAGCCATGTTAGCCTTCACCTGCAGGGTACAAAGTTCTGCACATGGGCTTATTAGTTCAGGAAAACATTCACTGGCATTACCTGAATCAAGCTTTATTTAATCAGTTCATAAGCACATGGATATATTTTAATCTTGATATATTTTAATCATATTGGTGACTTTGTTTGCTTTATTGCTTAGTTCAAATGGTGCCTCCAGGCAGATCTTCCATTTGTTCTGCATTGGTTTCTCCAGACATGTGGCTCAGTACAAACAGTTACTGGTCACACTGTGTCCAAGAGGAAGACAAAGATGGAAACTGCAGCCTGAATTGTATTTAGCAGGAGTGATTAGAGGCAATTTCATGAAACAGCTACAACTACTAATTGTTATTTCTCATTTTTACAATAGCTATTTGTTAATTAAATAATGTGACAAAACCCAGGAATGTTTGGAAAAGTGTGTTAAATAATTTGTCATTCATTTATCAGCATATTACTTACACTTAGAATTTGCATATCCGCTAAGAATATTTCCCAACATCAGTTCTGATTTTTCCAGAGAATGTGAAATCGATACTGGCAAAAACCGTAATGGAAAATGAAATTCCTTGGATCAGTGAAAGAGGATGTTGTTAATGGCCAAATCCTGCCCTGGTGTCAGCCTGCACACCCTCTGGTGCTCAGGCCCATAACGTGTGGCACCCTGAGATGTGGCACTGCCTTTGCTTGCTTGCAGATTTCTGCCCTTGTGCTGGCCTCTGCGCACACGAGGGTTTTCCTGTAGCCAAATGGTTGTTAGCCATATGCAGCATCTGACTTTGAGGATTAGAAGACCGTAATGAAGTGGATTACAGCATGAGATCAGTGGCAGGATTGCAGGCCAAATCCTCTTTCTAACCGTTCTTCCAGGAGTAGCTGAGAACTGAGCAACCTGTCCTGCAGCAGTGGGGTTTTTCCATGCTGTTATCAGAGGCAGGATAATCTGGAGCTGTGACCCAGGGTGGGTGTTGGCTGGCCAGAGGCTGTGCAGGAGTCTGAAACCTGGTGACTTCTGGGTGTCATTTCTGTGGCTTGCCTGGAGCTGATACCTGAGCGGCTCGGAGGAGTTTGGTGTTCCCCAGCCAGCTCTGAATTACCACAGGCTTGAGCCTGCCTAGGGTGGCTGTGGGTGAGGGAGCGAGGGGATGGATCTGCTGAACATCAGATGGGTGTTGTGGTGGGCAGAGGAAATCTTTGGGCTGCTCAGACCAGGAAGTGTCAGATCCAGTGCTGAACCCAGCAGCTGCAGTGGAAAATTTTTCTTTGCTGTGTTCAGGCGCCACACGGCAGCCTTTGGCAGGAAGGTGCTCACCACACAGTGGGAGAGGGGTCAGTCCTGCCTGAAGGATGGCACCATTATGGACAGGGAGCAGCCTGGGGCAGCAGCATGTGGGCACCAGGCAGGACACAACCTGTCGACAACTGCCAGGTAGGGTCTGGGAATACTGGCAAGGATGACACCCGGAGGTCTCACTGCTTGGCTGGAGAGGGCAGTGGCAAAGGTCATATTTGACCCTGAAAAATGTGCCTCCATCCAACTGCACAGAGAGCATATGTGTGAACTGATGGAGGCAACAAGCGTGGCATGTGACAGCAGCCTCAGCATACTCCTGTACGTGCTCAGAGAGAAGTATTTGGCTTTCAGAGATGCCATCTATAAGGCACACTAGGGCAACGCATCTTGAAGATGTGCCAAATCTGTCTAAAATATTCATGCATGCTCCCTGTAATTTAGACAAACAAACCCAGAAGCATAATTATTTGACTGCTTCTCCCTGTGAAGAAACTCATCTCTTTTAGGTAAAAATGTAACTTGTCTATCCGCACAGCCATGCTGTATCCTTTGTAACATGTCAGTGCCCAGTACAGGCGATTCCATGCGCTACAGTGCAATTTATTGATCAAAGAATACCCTTCAGACCACTGTAATGTATCAGACACCAGCACAATTGCTTGGGATAACTTTTAATTATTTCAGCTAAATTTAATCTGATTAATGGGTGGTGCCTTGTTTGCTCTAGGCAGCACCTGAAAGCATCTCCTACTCTGCAGCTCCTGCAGTGCTGAAGTCTATGCTAAGCACAGTCCTTAGCTCTCATGACCAAAAAAATCCCAGGTACACTTGCCATTTCGGGCCTGTGAAAGGGATCACGGTAAGAAATTTAGGTTAAAGGCAGAACCCACTCCTGCAAAATTATGGCTGCTAAAACAGCAGAGGTCCAGACCTCCTCCCAGGAAGGAGCAACTTGGAGATGGTTGAGGCTAGAGGCTAGAAATGCGAGAGACAGAAAAATTGGGGCAGGCTCTCTGTTTTAAGTATAATTGTCTAAAACGTGTAGGGGGAAAGGACCTACTGCACTTTTGGGTGTAGTTGGTGCTATGTAAATAGGTTCCCAAACCTTCAGTGTCTTTTGTTCTTATGATGGCTTGGCTGAACACTTTGAATCGGTCGGTGTGTTTGACTGACTAGATCTGTAAATAAGTGCTCCCTGCTGATAAGGTCCAAGTGACATTTTTAGGGTCACTTGACAGAATCTAACCTGCTTTCAAGTCTCCTACTGAGCTTTTCTATACCCAGGTAGTGAAACTGTCCATAAGCCCTTTCTTTTATCAAACCAGTCCTAAATGCCTTTAGCTTCCCAGGTTAGACACAGTCCTGCCAGACTCACCTGGCAAAGCTTAACCAGTTCTGCTGATAGCAAAGCTGCACCTGACCTGTGTTCATACCTAGTGGTGACTATATGGGAATGTGGGGATAAAAAAAACCCACCCAAAACCAGAAAGGAAAGCAGAGACTCTCAGCCTGGTCTGCATGGGGTGATACTGTGTGCTCTTCCTGAGCTGTTCCCTGATGGGAGATGTTGCTCTGCAGAGACAGATGAAGGACCTGCTGTTTACTCCCCTCAATATTTGGTGCTCCTTATGCTTCTGCTAGAATCCTAAAAAAGGGTTCTTTTGTCTCAAAGGCTGTTTGGTTTTGGCCACTGAGAGCATGTGATACTTGTTTCAAGCTATTAACCAGATGTCCAGCCAAAATCAATTGCCTAGCAGAAGCAGACCATTACCTGAAAGTCAAGACCTTAATAAATATTACTAGCCTCATTGTCCTAGTGACAGATTTGCTGGTTGTTTTATGTTACAGTTGAGCAGTTTAGACATTGCATTTGTATATATTCACAGGCAGCCTTGGAGAGACCATCTCAGCAGCAGGCAGCCTGCAGACTCAAGAAACTCTTCCACCATGACCACGGCAGGCATTTTTGTGCTCCTCTCCTTGGTGCTTTGCTGCACCCCAGGTGAGTAACTCTGAAGGTACTGCAGAAGCTTCAAGTCTGGGTCCTGGCTGTCTTTAAAAGGATAAGATAGTGGTTTCAAAGAGAGAAAATCTCCTATAAAGAGCTAAGCTGCCTGGGTACACTAGTGTTGTATAGAATGCAGGAGCAGATTTCAGGACAGTAGTAAATGGGTCACTGTTGTAGCTGAATGTTGTAAGTACAAATAACTGCCCTGGAGTTCTGTGCTGGTAACTGGTGGTGTTACACTTTTTACACTGTTGTCTTAGCGCTATTACACTGCTTACGCTTCTTGTTGTACAATTCCAGCAAATGGATAAACACTTGAAACAAGGCAGTGATGAGGTGGTTAGACCTCCAGTAACTTGTCATGACAATTTTGTAGTGGCACAAGTAGGCTCTGTGCAGAAGCCTGGCAACTTTCCTGCAATGCTTTTGCTGCTAATGGGGAAACAAGAGATGAAAACAAGCCAGAGTCTGATGTTCTCAGTGCATATTTACATCTTATGAAATTACAAAGTCAAAGACAGGTCTTTTTTTTTACACTCTGCTTCTTTAAAATGCATATTCCTGACAACAGATGCTGTATGTATTTGCTTATCCTGTAGGTGACTATTTGCATTTGCGTTTATCTGTATTGACTCAGGTTTCTTTACAGATAAGAAACAGCGGCCCTTTAGGGTCAAAACGGATGTGTAAAAAGATAAGGAAGGAAAAGCTATTCTGTTTTCAATTAATAAGTCTACCTATCTCGACATAATAAAGAACAAAGCTATTCAAGAACATGTTTTATCACAGTCAGCAATAAGCAATGCTATTATACTTATCAACATAGAAAAACCCAATCATACATGGTTTATTTAGTTCAGGAAACCAATCACTAGAAATAATTAAGTTTAGTCCTGCATATAGGAATTTTATATCCAGATTTCCAGCTTTAGCTGAAGTCTTATCATATTGGCTTTGTTTCACATTTTCTCTCTCTTCTTTTCCAGACACTGCCTTTGGGGTTGAGGTGAGTAGAAGATTTCTTTCTGTCACTTTTCTCAAGTATGTGGCCTGGTAGATACAATTGGTAAATATGCAATAACTAAAGGAGCTAGAATAACCTCAGGCATGTAGATGCTTAGCTGTTTTTCACCTAGCATGAACTTAGTGTCACTGTAATCAGATTTTACAGTGTAAAGCATTAAATTATACTATTCTTGGCTCAACATCTATCCTGTATGTTAATAATGCACTAGTGATAACGATACAGAGCATTCAGATGAATTAATTTTTCTCCAACTCTAAGCTGGTCTAAGCCTTAAGCTGGTCATATATGACTGACTCTAAACTAGTAGCAATAGACTGTGATATCAGAACCTACCCAAAGGCAACCTACTGAAAGAATAAAATACTACGAGACACTCCAGCTTCCACACACCAGGTCATTAGTTTTGCTCCTTTGGAAAAAAAAAAAAGAAAATTATGTGTTGAGAATGAAAGAGTTATAACAGAAATACACTGGAGGGGCCACAAGGGTATAAAAACAAGGGACCAATGCTCAGCCTTTGTGAAATGATGCCAAGTGAGCGTGAGAGACCACCACTGATTTATCCCACCTGGGGGCTACATGGCTGTAGCCCTCTCCTCCTCTGCTGTGTGGGAAGGTCTCTGCAGGAAGGACTCACCTGCTGCCAGGTTGCCCCACCAGAGCAAGTTTGTGCTGTGGTGGTGAAAAACCCACTGCAGGTTGTATCTGGTCATTGTTTTGTGCAAAGTGAGTTGTGAAGGTAAAGCATCTTCTTCATCCTGTTGCTGTACGTTCCTTTGACAGGTGGACTGCAGTGTGTATCTCAACACTACAATTGACGATGAAAAAGTGACGTTGGCCTGCACCAAGATCCACAGCCCCATCTGCGGTAGCGATGGAGTCACCTACAGCAACGAGTGCCAGCTCTGTGCCTACAACATGTACGTACTGCATAGGAGATCCTGGGCAGCACTGCTTGGGACTCCTGACAGCACCACTCTTCAACAAACAGTGATCTGTCATATGTCCCTTGTGACAATTCCTTCAAAATGAGCTTGGGTATCACTTTGTGGTACTCTGTTGCCTAGACATTGCTTTAGTCATCGTATCTCTCCTTTGCTGGTGTAATTTATTCAGGTTTATTTTCTTCAGCTCAAGGATCAGCCAGATGACAGCCCCTAGGGCATATCTCATCACAGCAAAGCAGAGCTAAAGGCTGGAGAGAGACTCTGCTCTGAACTGTCCAAAATGGTCCTAAAGGTCTCAGTGTCTTTACATCCCTGCCAGCCACTCGGTGCTAACTGGTCAGGGAGGATGGCATTACCTTCTCAAAAAATATATGTATAAGCCTGACTGACAAAGAGTCACCTTTCCCATGTATTAGTTACATATTTCCAGCACCCGGGATGTATCAAGACATCTTTGCTGAACTTTGTTTGTCTTTCCCTCTCCAGAAAATATGGAACCAATGTCAGCAAAGACTATGATGGAGAATGCAAGGAAGCTGCTCCTGTAAGTGAAACCAAGGGCAAAATAAGGGGCATGTCTCGCTTCTGAGTAGTCGAAGCTGCTTAGTGACTCCCCAAAGAAGTAGTTCAAACACTAAATAAGAGGACGTATGGGATGTCAATCTTGCATTGGTCATCTTCAAGTGAAATGTCATCATAGTGACACACAAAAAAGCATTTTTCCTGCTGTGGTTGTATCCTATGTGGCCAGACACACTCACTACATTTACTTGCTTCCTGTAAGTAAGCCTTCACCTGTGCTTTGTCATGTGTTCCCTCAATAGGTGGACTGCAGTAGTTATGCCAATACAACAGATGAGGAAGGCAAAGTGGTGTTGCTCTGTGCCAAAGACTTCAACCCCGTCTGTGGTACCGATGGGGTCACCTACGACAACGAGTGCCTGTTGTGTTCCCGTAACCTGTGAGTAATGGATGTGCAGAGCTCTCCTGTGAGAGATAAGCACTTAGTACTCCCTACAGCTACTTTTCTGCATATCAGGACTTCTACCAAGGCCTTTTCTGTAAGTTGCTTGGACTTTGACCCTCCTATTTCCCTGGTAACTACAGCCTGTTTTCCTTTGTGATTCAATGGAAAGCTTGTCTTTGATCTAGAGAGTGTACAGGGCTGGGTGGGGATCTAACACAGGTCAGAATTCTTCTTTTAACTAAGTGAAAAGGGTTTATGTGGCAGATGCTGCCTTGCAGAGGACAGCAACTAACCTAAGCTGCATCTATGTTGTCACACAACCTAGCTCCTCATTCACCCTAATACCCTGGACCTTCCCTTGTCCTTTGCCTCATGTAATAAAACAGTAGTGCAGCAAGCTGTTGCACCACCTGAGCTGGTATCTCTAGAGCCTTGTGGACCTAGCCTAAGCTGGACACCTCCTGTATCCCACATGTTGTACCTGAGGCCGATCAGCATTGCTGGGATGTGGGGCTTGTCAGAGCAGACTGCTTAGAGATCTCCCTAACGTGTGTGTTTACCCTTCCCAGGGAACCTGAAGCCAGTGTTGGCAAGAAGTATGACGGTCGATGTAAAAAGGAAATTACAGTAAGTGAACTGCGTGGTGAGGGATGGGGTTTCAGTCCCACTGGTGTCAGGGAAAGCACTGCTGGTGTCTGCAGCAGGAAAGGACTAGTAAAAGAGCAGCAGCAGAAATAATCCATCGAAGCATAACTGAGAATAAGAACGGAGTGGCTTTTGGGGTCAGACCATCAAGCCCATGATGACTTGATGCAGAGTCTGCTCTTAGCAGAGGTCATATGGATTATGCAGGAGAGAGGAAGAGTAGAGTGAGTATGTATGGGACTTGTACTCTTCCAATCTCCAGCTATTTTCAGGTGATGGACCTCAGCTAGGTGTGATTTCTCTGTAGTCAGTAAGCCTTGATGGATTTCTCCTCCATGAAATTCCTCAGCTTCTTCCTGGACCCCTATACATTTTTTGCACTATGATACCTCTCAGCAAGTATAGCATCCATTGCACAAAGAAACAAAATCCCACTCTCACAGTATCTCACTAAGTGCTGATCCTCCTGTATAAAAACTACAGGAGAGATACCGAACCTTTATACAGGCACCAGCATCTGCACTTCTCCAGACCGGTATTCTTCCATTTAATTTCCTGGCTAGGTTGGGAACACAATGCAGTGTGATCATGAGCATGGCACATTCACCAAGGGAACTGCTGCTGCTTAGAAATGCTCTGGTCAAGTTATGATATACATCTCTTCAAACAGGAAATTATGATCTATTTTCATATTATTAAATTCTTCTGCCGTAGGAGAAACTGACACCTCAGTTTATATCAGGTTGTGCAAGGAAGTTAATTACTTTTAGTTAGATTATTATCATTAGCATGGCAGCTGAAGCTAGGGGTCCATGCCCTTCTGCCATTGACTCCTTCATAGCCTTCACATTAGAGTTTGTTTTGGTTGTTTTTTGTTTTTTTTTTTTGCAGGTTGACTGCAGTGAATACCCCAAACCTGTCTGCTCTCTTGAGTACATGCCTGTCTGTGGCTCTGACAGCAAAACATACGGCAACAAGTGTAACTTCTGCAACGCAGTCGTGTATGTACAAACATGGATCACGTGGGTGTTATCAGTTGCCTCCTGTAGGCATAAGTTTGCACAGTTACTGCTTTCTTGTTTGCTGACCAGTGCTGACTGGGGATTTGGGCAGGACAGAATACCAGCCATCATGCCAACCATTCAGTTTTTGTTCATTAGAGCATACAAAGAGCTATGTCTGGTGTGTTAGTCAGAATGGTTTGAAGACCATTAACCTTAATGTAGTTTTTCTTGCATGCTGCAAAGAAAATTAAATCTGAAGTTTCATTATAGTTTCCAAAAATATTTTCAGTCTTAAGAATGGGTTAAATAATTTCACTCATCTCTTTAATAATCAAAGAGCTAATGGGACTCTGCAAGTTCTTTGACTCTGGGGCAGGATCCTATCTGGTGCCTTCTCTGAGAGCCAAGCAAAAGTACTGATTGTAGCAGCCTTTGTGTCTAATCCATGTTTTCCTTTCCTCCCTTTCAGGGACAGCAATGGAACTCTCACTTTAAGCCACTTTGGAAAATGCTGAGTATCAGTGCTGAGAGAATTCACCACAGGATCCCCACTGGCAAATCCCAGCTAAAGATCTCACCTCAGTTCATCTCGCCCTGTGGGGAACTCAGCTCACTCCTGATTTTCTTTCTCAATAAACTAAATCAGCAACATTTCTTTGTCTTGTTTCATGTGTTGTCTCATGAAACATTTGCTTCTGATTTGTTGAATGATGATGCCAGGCTGAATAGGTTACGTGCTCATAGCTCTGGGATATAACAAGAACAAGGTCTTGCTCCCTTCCCTCTCTTAAAAGGCAGAAAATTAAATACAGATGCATAAACCTTGGAGCTGTGTGACTTTGCACATAAATGGTAGTCAGCCTACATTAGTGTTTAGACCCTTTTAGGCATTTGACATTGTAAAGGGCTGAAAATACTGCTTTGAAGCGATGACGCTAGCTGATCTCTCCTGAGGTATTTCTAGTGTACTTTCCCTGTGCTGGCACCATCAGCAAAACCTGAGGAGGTGCCTGCACCAAGCACTGAGCCCTGGCCCCCTGAGCACAGCCCGTACCCGCAGTGCAGCACCCTGCAAGGGCAGGCTGTTAGCAAAGCCCATCTATGTCAGACATGTGAGTGGATCCTGCCTATTTGTCTGGGTTTTTCATCTTGAACTCATCCTTTAACAACCTCCGAGTGGTTTAAGATAAATGCCCTCCTAGGGATGGCTCCTACTGCCTACTTGTCTTCTCTCTTAGTCTTTAATAACATAATGTTCTTTGCCAGCCCACGAAGTACATCAGCAGTGTTTCACAATCCAAGGGCAAAGTATCCTTCTGTTTTTTGAGAGTGTGACCTATCACTAGTGTATTGTCCATGAGATTTATTTTGCTTTTGTCCTCTATTGGAGTACTGAATTGCTGTTTTTTTGATCCACACAGGAGAAACATAAATAAATTGTGCATATCCCATCTAAAAAAGTAACATCTCCCATACACGTTTCTTCAGGGAACCAAAGGGAGGAGAGTGCTTGTTTACCTTGATGGCATGTGATCATCCAAAAAAGCAATGTTTTGGTGGTAAAACAAAGGATTTATGTTGAGATGAGCAGATGGATGGAAGAGAGATTTCCAGAATGAGCTCAACTTTTCTGGGATCCAGGCTAGAGTCTCACATCATTTGTTCATCACCAGACTATCAGTCCATCACTGCAAGTCTAACCCACAATACTGATGGCTTTTGGGGAAAATAACAACTGCAAATTCTTTGCCTATGCCCATAAAAGTGGCTCCATCTCTTGTCCAGTTCAAGGACTCCAGTGTTTGGGACATCCTCTTGCTTGCCTGCCCACTTTACTGGTTTCCCGGTTTCACTATAACTTAATAATGCTTTACTGGGAGGAAACAGGAAAATAAAAGTAGAGACTTTCCATTCTGGAAGCCATTTGTTCAACATTTTACTCATGAAAAAGCACCGCACATGAATAGGCACTGATAGGTGCCCACAGAGAAAATCTGCCAGAAGTCACTGCTTAGGTTTGTACGGTTGCTTTTTGGCCTGCAGGAGCTTTCTATGTTCCTTCAGAAGGAACCTGTCACATATTTCCCTTGAAATAGCGACATGGAAGGTGTATCGAACGTATCTGAACTTCTTGTGACGCTCCTGCTGATGAAGAAGCATTCCTCCTGGCTTACAGCAAGGCTTACCTCTATCGAGATTGCCACCCCAACAAAAGACCGGGAAAGTTTCTTCAGAATAAGGGCGGATCAGCCAAATACAAATGTGCACAAACACACACATGCACACGCGCAAACATACGCGCGTACATATAAGCATGGTTACCAGCTGAGGGCACAATTAAAGCTACGTTTACTGAGCAAAACACAGGCTCAGCTGCACGCAGACGCTTCAGCCACCATGAAGACTACAGTGGTGTTGCTGCTGTTTGCCGCAGCCCTTTGCTGCACCTCAGGTGAGTAGCTTTGCTGTCTCCTGCTCCGCCTTTGAGTAAGCGCTGGCTGTTTTTAAAACCACAAAAACATCCTCAGACTGGAAAGAACTTCATTCTACAAGGACTTATTTACTCCTAGAAAGATAGTGTTGAAAAGACTTGACATCAAAGACTATCACTTATGGGGTAATATTTTAGCAACAGAACTGAGTGGGTAAGAACAACTGTGGGAACAGCTCTACTCTCAGCGTTAGTTTATGCATAATGAAAGAAGTGACACGTACGTGGTACAACCCGGAGACTCAGACATCCAGTATTTAACCTCTGAAATGTTGCAGAAACACAAATTATTTTACTGAATGAAAGCGAACATTTCTTGTAGGCATCTTGAACTGAGATGTAATTTGAGAGCCTGCACAGTTGTAGAAGCTTTATAAAAGTTACATCTCACTAAATACTCCTTTTATTTAAGAACTATTGTGCCAATGCATTTAAGACGCAGTCTCTGTGTACTTGCCAGCTTTATGACCCTGTTTGCCTCGATAGCTTGCTTAGCTTGGAGTACGTGTCCTGCTCCATCCTGTGAACCATGGAAAATGTCCTTCTCTTCTTTCATTTTGCACACTCTTTTCCATCTTGGCTGTAACCCCCATTTTAAAAAAATATACTACACAATCAACACTGTAAGTATAGAATATGGAACAAAAATTTTCCTTTTGTCTAATAAGTAATTTGCTAACAATCGATGAATTGAAAGTTGCATATTCAGGGCATGCATTCACAGATTTTTAACTCTAACAGAACCTATGAATTGCATTTGTATCATATTTTCTTTTTTTCTTCTTTTTTTTGCAGCTATTGATATACAGGTAAGGGACAGATCTTTCTATTTTCCAACATTTCTTAAAGCAGTTTCTGTAGAAATCCTTACTAATCACATTGTGATCGAGCATTTGAAAATCCTGAGTCATCCAGCTGTCTGAACAATATTTGCCACAGATAGTATTGGGTGAAATTACCATTTTCATCTGATGATGGTTTCAACAAGTCATGCAGTGTTCAGTTAGTGTCCAAGTTATTGTCAAAGTCCCTGCAGCAGCATTTGTGACAGTTACACAGGCTCTCCATTGCTGGAGGCAATGTGCTACTGTTCTGTCCCAAGGCTTTTTCTCAGCATCTGCTTCTGGTCAGTACTGGGCTGGGGGCTCAGGGTGTGTGTGGGTCTCCTAATGTTACCTTTCTTACATATCTGCTGTTGAGAGCTTTTTTGTGAACATACATTGCATCTACCTGCAGGACTACTGCGGTGACATAACACGACCTGCACTTCCAATGTGTACTATGGAGTACGTCCCACACTGCGGGTCCAATGGCCAAACATATAGCAATCAATGCATGTTCTGCAATGCAGTCCGGTATGTATAAAACAAATTTATTCACTATATAAAATAAATCACTAACTAAATGGTGAACTAACTTAGCCTAAACTAAATAATCAGCCTTGGAGACTGGTTGAAGAAGTAAAGTTCTTTTATTTTATGTTTGTCTGTTCTCTTACTAGCAAGAGTCAGTTTTTTATTGAGAGAATTTGTGAGGAATTCCTTTGTTTTAGATATAAAGAAGTAACATTTAGTAGAGTTCTTCATTTCCTTGTCAAGTAATTTGCTGAAGAGCTTTCTTCCAGCAATAAGGTTTCCTACAGGCTATTTCTTTCTTTAAATTAAGTCTTTGAATGTTAGTAATAAGAGGAAATAGCAGGAATCGTGTTTAGAAGTTTTATGTTCAAGATCCTCTATGATATAACCTTCACCAGAGGGGGACACAAACAGTAAAAGCCCAGATGTTCTGTCTTTGAGGTAATGATTTCTTTCTCTACAGGCTCAGCCGTGGGACCCTTCACTTGAAACACCTTGGAGAATGTTAACTTCTTGACAGGCTTCAGCTCAGAAAGATGACCCCTCCCTCGTGATGGTCTCCATAGGAGATGCTCCCCTAAAGCCTTGCCCTGAACCCTGAAAGCTCCTGATGAAACTGGAAACCTCTGCTTAATTAAAAAAGCCATCAGCATTTATGTCTTGCTTTAATAATATGTCTCATTCTGTTTTTACCTAAGATGGTGCATGGTTACATCACTGCAAAATCCCGGGGTGTGGGTATTAACGGGCAAATTACAGGGAGAAGGAATACATTGTTCTGATCTACAAAGAAATAAACATTGACCGCAGAGGCAGTGGGCAGATCTTGAGGGCATCTGCCTTCATCCAGCTTTCCAAAAGAAAATCAGAGTTGGAGATGCATCCTGGTGCAATAGTCCCATTGATTTATTCCACTAAGGGCACCCTAAACAGACACTGCCTCTTCAACCATTGCTCTCAAATTCCTGCCGCCTCACCCCTACATTACTGCTTGGGATACTCTGGCAGAATGAAGAGGTCCCAAGGAAACCTGAACATACATATAAATAGAGACAGTCCCAGTCCCAAAAATTGTTACAGTTAGGAGTGTTTTGTAGCTCTCTGCAAAAGCCATGGGGGCACAGAGTGCTGGCAGCAAGAGCTGCTCACCCCCGTTTCGGTTTCCAGGGTCAGCCCCAATTTCTTACGGCTGCAAGAGAAGTGGTGAAGAAGCACAGTTCCCGGCTGCATCCCTTCCCCTTGCAAGCAGGGTTGGAAACACACCTTTATGTGAAAGAAGTGCTTTTGCAATCTGCTCTGCCTCCCAGAGCGACAGGACAGGGTGTTTTCTCCGGGCAGGCAGATACCTGGCTGCCCACATTTGTGTTTGCAGCATTCACCGCCGTGGGGTGTTGCAGAAAACCAGTGGGCAGCCAGTCCTGACAGAGCTGGTATTGGGAGGACTGCTAGCAATCGCTGCCGCGGCCCGTTTCTGCACCTCGCCCACCACTTAGCTGCTGCTTGTAGGTAATTACGTCGATTGGCGCTTGTAGAGGATCCTTTGAGATTCTTCGGCCTCTGGAAATCTCAGCTGATGAAAGGAAGGGCTCAGAGTCATAACGCTAATTTATTATTCATTAACAGCGAAGCGCTGGCAGTGTGGCGTGCAGTGCAGGCAGCAGTCTCACAGTCAAATAGTTAATGATCTTAAGTGACAATCTGTCACTTTCCAGAGGCTGGAGAGAGCAGCCCTCTGAAGGGAGACAATTTCTTTCCAAAAGACATGACTCTCTGCAACCATTTAGTGCCAAGTGCCTTCCCGGGGCTGGAATGTCCCTCCTTGTGAGGGGGAGGTCTGCGTGCGGGAAGGCATTTCAGTGTCAGATGCAATTTCTTAGGACCAAGACAAATTGAGGCTCTGGGAGGTGGTGCTGGGAGTGCGTGGCTCGGGGGATCCATGCTCCTTCCTGTCCCACTCCACTGAGCGAGGGAGTCAGGGGTAAGAGGACACCAGCTCCAGCTTCTTTCCTGGGGACCAGCGAAGAGGATGAGGATGGCCCCCAGAAACCATGGTGCCTTGGAGACAAGTGGAGCTCCCGATCGTGGTCCCAGTGGTCCTCAGAGAGCATCTTCAGGGGCCATGTCTGCTAAACAGGAAAATGGACCAGGCAATTGAGGGGAAACTGTGAGTAGAAATTAAAGGGGGAACAATTCCTCCACTCTGATGCAGATTTATGCAGTATTACTCAGGAGTAATCGAGGGCAGAGCAGGACCCCAGCTCCTTGCCCTAAGGGGGCAGCTCCTTAGGATGGAGAGGAAAACAGTTCTCTTTTATGGGCACCTCGTTGGAAATAATTTTTTTGTTGCTGCTCAATAAAATCCTACCACAACAACACAAAATCCTCTCACCATTACTAATCTAACTCTCCCTCCAGGAAATTCAAGGCAGGAAACATTGTCTGCCTGCCAAGGTATTTTATGGTACAATTCTTTAAGCAGTACCTCAGCACTTTATGTTATTATCTGATGTTTGTGAATTTAGGAAATGCCATTCAATTACCCCACAACCTGATTAACACATTGCATGTAGTTATTTTATTCTGCTCTATTTTATATCAATGCTCCTATTTTAGTGTATTGTTCTACTTTTTGCTGGCCAAAATATACCTCAGGCCAGTCTAGACCTTTCTGTTAATGCAGTTTCTCTCTGAGGATTCATTCGGGATAAACTGTTTGTTACTGTGTTCTTTCTTGATGCGGAGAAAAATAAAATGATGTTTTAAAAGAAAATTGCTTGGAGACGTCGTTTTTGAGGGCTGGCTGTGTCAGAGCTATTGCAGCGAGGCAGAGCTGAGATTTGCTGAGGGATTGGGATGTGCGAGGCCCAATCCTCAGCCTTTTGCTGTTAGTATGCAGCTTCCAGACAGTCAAATTATTCCAGACACCCTTGCCTGTGATATAATCTGTGCTTAAAAGACTGGAGATATGCAGGCAGCAATCAGATATCTGAACTACAAGGAGAAATATTAGATGAGTGCGGCTTAGAGCAGGGGCTTTGCTTGCTGTAAATTGAATTCCTGTTCTCATAGAAGATCCAGTTCTGCCCCCGTGTGCAGTTGTCTGGGAACAGCAGCCTGGTTTGTGAGCTCTTGCAGGGCGCCGCATCGCTGGTCAACCGCAAAGAAATGTGCTGTGCATTTGCCTCTGCAGCAGCACAGACTGGAGCACAACACCGCTTTGCTCTTGATTACGGTGCGATGCGTGACAGCAGGATACAGGAGCAAAGAAGATGACACTGCTGCTGGAGTGACAGCATAAGGTCTCACAAGCACACATCCACCTTTTTCTTTTCCCCAAAAAATTAAGAAATGTAATTTCTCATTGTAGCCAGATGAAGTCTGTGACACGTTTTAAACTAAAGCAGGGAATGCAAATGAAGAATTTTTTAGGTCGTGGTAGATTATGGATTGACTTGAGATAGGGAATCTCAAGACCAGAGGAAAAGATTCCCGGGAAAAAGTTGCTGCTGTGGGAAGAAAGATTGCTGAATCAGAAACTGAGTAGAAATTCCAGTTATTGCAAATTTACCTTAATGCAATAGTATCCATCATATGACTACCGATGTTTATCCCATCTGTGTGGCCATAACCTGCTTGAACGTTTGCCCTCTAAGAACTCTTAATAGCAGGAAGTTTTATTTCAGCTTTTCTATGGATCTCACATATGTAGAAACATTAAAATAATCCTGTGCCCAAAGTCGCTTTACTGAGCCCACCACCATGATACTCTTGAATATCGCCGAGGGGTTTTGGCAGGTGAGTTCACTTTGCCTTTCCCATTCGCAACATGTGTATGACATTCCCCAAAGCTCACTCCTCCAAATGCATGGAGACAGTTGTTTTTGACTGTTCCTAATGCCTGATTTCAACCCATCTGCTGCCTCACAATTACTTCTGGCCCGTTCCCTCTGTTTCTTATTAATGGAGCTCCTGTGCAAGCCCACATCACACCCAGCCTAGCAGCCCTCGCTGCCCTGCCCTGGCTGCTACCAATTATCTCCCATCCTTTCTTATAGACCCTGTAGCAAAGCTCTTTCCTTGCTTCTCTTCTCCCTGCTGTGCTGTGCTGTGGCAGGGATTACTGCAGCAAAAGAGCTGCTTTTGGAGCAGTCCTGGTTGTCTACCCAGACCTCAGAAGCAGCAGAGGGGGATCTCCCCAGTGGATCTAATTAGTTAAAGGGTAGGTGTTGGCCCAGCGCTAGAATGATGCCGCTCCCTAGCAAATACCCGGCTATTCACAACAGCTCTGAGCACCCAGCGTGATTTCAGCCTGGCAAGAGCAGCAGCACAGCTTCTCGTAACTGGGGATGTCAGACCTGGAGGCAGGTATGGAGAAGCTCAGGTCTCAGGGCTGGAGAAGAGACAGACTACGTTCATGTAGCCTTGCTAACCACCGCAGAGCCAGCAAGTGCCATCTCCACTAGCGGCTGGTGCAAGTTCTGAGGAAGCTTTGTTTTTCAGGCTTAGGCATTCTTGCCCCTGGAGAATAATCAATATTAATGCTTCCGTGACTGCTGCTTCCCTTCCAAATATGCTCACAATCAGTTGAAGGAATCTGAAAGTCAAGTCACTCAGGATGCTAAGAATACAACAGAAACAGCTTTCAAAGGAACCCTTCAACTTCTGATATTTGTGAATGAGATCCAAAGAGCATTACTCATTTATTTTTCAGGAAAATGATTTCGATGATACGAACAGGCCAAATCCTGCAATCTGTATTCTGTGGTACAGTTCCCTTACACTTTCTGCTATATTTCTATGATTTATCTGCCGGTGCCACGATTTGAACATCTCCCAGGATAATAAGAAAAACAATTCTAATTTTCTATTTAAATTGCAGGCTGCCTTTAAGCCACATGTCTGATTCAAGCTTTTTCTAAAGCACAAACATGTCCCAGCCCTTACTTCCTTCCGTGACGACCTTAAATCAAAAATGTATTATTTTATGCAATATTCCTTATTTGTTTTTCCATACACTTGCGATAGAGTTGAACCACTTAACAGAGCCTAGCACATTATTCTTCACTTATCTTCCTTAAAACACAAGTTTCAGCTGACACTCTAATTTTAATGCCGTGTAATAGAGGGGGAAGGGGGGAGCCAAAGGACCCAGCTTCTTTTTGCAGCTGCTGCAAGTTGTTTTTGAATGTCTTTGGTATCAAGAAGCCCATGTTACCTGCACAGAACATCACTTACTTGCCATTAAGAGGAAACATTATCCCAGTCCAGATTTAAGGCTACTTATTCTCATCATTTCTTAATCAGACTCATGCTCATTGCCAGTAGATGAATAATGCTTGCTCCTACATAGAAATGACTTTATAAACTTCTGAAGTTTTAGGTGATGCTTTCCTGTTGTGGTGGTTGTTTCCTTCCTGTTAGTGAGAAATCCATTGCACCAGGAGAGAGTGTGGTGAGATTCATCAAGCCCTCAGCATCTTTAACATATGCTGATCCCTGTCAAACCCTACATTTTATGTCTGTAAAAGCTTGGAGTGTCCCACTCTGATGTACCATGCACATCTCCTGTGCCCTAATACCATCTAGTGTATGCAATACGGTGTGCACTTTTAGCAAATGGCTTTTTTTGCTTTACCAACTTCCATATTTAATTTCACAACATCCACTATTGAGACAGTGCTCTTGTTTGGGAAGTACAAATCACTCATTGTACAGCAGGGCACCTTTGTTAACAAGCTGGGTGTAGCTCACATTTTTGTTTAATTCTTCTGGGCATCTCTGTAACAAACAAGTATTCTTTAGAGCTCAACTCAATAATCGATACAATTTTCTTCGTTTACAGAGCAAATAATTACTTTATGGGATGACTTCACAACGTCAGGGAGATTCGTATATATAGAGCAGAGAGAGGAGGCTGAGAACCATCTCCTGAACTCAGCAGTGGCAGATCTGCAAGTAACAGACTGCACAACCATCTCCACTATGAAGACCACAAGGAGAGTTGCCCTTCTTGGGCTTATGCTTCTCAGCTGCCTTTCTGGTAAGTTCTTCTTGTTGCAGTCTGTGCTACCTTTAGTCTGCATGAACCGTTGCCTTTACATATACATCTTAAAGGAGACTTCAGCCTTTCAGAGAAATGATAATTTAATAACATGCGAACTCTCTTTTAATGGACTTTATCCTTGTGCAGATAAATACTATAGGTCAGTAGGAGGCTTTTGTCTGATTTAAACTTACAAGGCTTAGTGGGGATAACAGTGCTGCAAAAGGAGAAAAGCTTATGTCCTGTTTCTTCTTTAATGAGTCAAAAGTTCTGTTTTCACAAATAATTCATTTAACAAAAAAATAGCATATAAATTCTTGTTTACTTGCAGTAGATAAAACAATTGGGAAAACAATCACTTTTCAGTAATAAGAAAGAGTATTTGTTTACTTTATTGGCAAACTGATGATTCAGGGAATTTTGGTCAAGGACACTGTACAGGTTTTATATTTTATAATTTCTGTTTTTATTGTAGAAATTGCTTTTGCTCAACGACTGGTGAGTAGCAGACCTTCTTTGTCATTTAGTCTTGATTTCTAAGTCTAGATGAATAATTCATACCCATACTGTATCCCAAGGAAGGCTTGAAGGAGACAAAAAAGGAGAGTGAGAAAGATAGGAAGAGGGAAAAGCACCTCTAAGTATTATACCAGCTCTTTTCCCCAAAATAAGAAAGTACCTTTGTCAGAGAGAGATAACTTACCACGTTGATGATAAAAAGACACCGATTAGTAATGTAGAGTGAGAGTCAGTACAGCACTGAGTGCCAGCAGAAAATCTATACAACTATTGAATAACTGCCTAAATATCTCCCCTGTCTTGATTCCCCAAGGAATGATAATTTTTGCCCGCAGTTCTTGCCAAAAGTACTGAAAGTCTTAATAGCAAAAAGGTGCTTTTCCGTGTTGTTAGAAACACAGAATATTTTGTTGTCTGTCATCTTCACCATGAAGAAACAATAGAGAAAATCAAATGACCAACAGCAGCCTTCCAACGCAGCAAAAACATGATTAACACAAGCACACCCTTCTCAGTGCTTGGAGACATCACGAGTCCTCTCTCACAGGCCTCCTGCAGCGTGTACCAGCTGTCGGGAAAAACACAGCTTGCCTGTCCCCGCAACTACGAGCCTGTCTGCGGGACCGACAACGTGACCTACCCCAACGAGTGCTCCCTCTGCAGAGAGTTCTTGTGAGTTCGGGGGTGCTCCAGTACCCACAGCAGCAGTTCAAGGAGCAGACAAAAGCTTTTGGGGTTGTGACTAATTGCGGGGTGGACAAGACTTTTCATAAGTTTCTGTCTTCCCTAATACCCGGGATCTTCCATGTCAAAGCTCCTGAATCTCATTAATTACTGGGGCTTTAGGAGCGGAGACACTTAATGAGGGAGATGACTCCATGGTATCAAGAGATTAATAATCCTTCCTTTCCTCCTCTCGCTCTCCCTCTAGCCGCAACCGAGCCATTGACAAGAAGCACGATGGAAGATGTGTTAAGGTAAGGTCTGGGGTGGATTCCTTCTGCTGCTGCCATGCTGAGCAGCGGTGGGTGAAACGATGGCAGAGAGCTGGACAGAAACCTCACTCAGGATTAACTCTGTGTTAAAACCACACAATTTCAGGCTGTTAGAAATGGAATGAAAATAAAGAATTTCGGATTTGCAAGAATTTCTGTTAAATTTTTTTTGACCAGTTAAAATCAATGAGGTTTAAAATGCTATCTTGTATAAAACAGTAGACATAATGGAAACTTTTGATCTCAGTAGTGCTTCAGCATTATCAAAACACTTCTCTTTGGGCTTAGACTTAGAAGCTTGTTGAAGCTAAGAAATTCCCAGAGGAAGTTTGGATTTTGACTGAATCGTAATTTTATAACAGAAAAAACAGTTCTATAAGAACATTTATCATAAAGTTTGTTTATCAATATGTAGAGCTGCTGCGGAGAAGTATTTCTATTTTTAGTTTAGAGAAAGGAAAGAAACACTCTGGCTGTGCAATTTAGCATGATACGACGACTTCCATTTTGGTACACTCAGAGTAATTGCAGAAACACCGAGGTGAGCGTAAAATCCATTTTCAATTGGTGTTGGCATTTTGCAGCAAAAGTCGCTGCTGCATAAGGCATTTTAGGCAAAAATCCTTCACAGTAGTGTTCATGGTGAAAATGCCCAAGACGATAGGGATGAAGCCCATTTCAGAACAGGAAAAAACATACTCCAGGATCATGCTGTACCCGCAATCAGGATTTCAACTGTTTGTGCTGCTCCAACCCCACCATGCTGGGACTGGAAGCTCCTCTCCCCTTACAGCTCTGGTTGGAGGGGAGATGTCTCTTACGCTTTGCTCCATCAGGACTGATGCAAAGGTGAGCAGGGATTAAAACATTGTTCTGTGACCGTTTCAGCTCGACTGTACTGGCTACCTGAGATCAGGCAGCGGTAGTGCCATCCCCTGCACCCTGGAGTACATGCCCATCTGCGGCACCAACGGCATCACCTACAGAAACAAGTGTAACTTCTGCACGGCTGTGGCGTAAGTGGAGGGGCTGGGTCACAAGAGGCGTTTCTGCACCAGGAGGTGCTTGTGTTGGTTCTCAGAGCATAACGTGGTAGTTTGACTCATGAGGTGGCTGCACTGTGCTCATTCATTCTCAACTCACTTTCTTCCCAAAGGAACGGACTGGACATAAACCTGCGCAATATGGGAGAATGCTTCCAGGTACAGCACTGCAAGCTGCTCTTAACTACTGTTGCAATACATCTTACAAGACAAGTTCACTGAATTGTAGCTAAATGGTAGAAAAGCCTGCGCTGTCCTAGTGCATTTGGCCTGGAAATAGGATTTGAGGAAAACAGTTAAAGTATGCCAGGGACAAAGGGTACTGAACTAAATCCATGCCTGAGATATGCAGTCCCCTCTTGATCTGGGAATACAGAGTGAGTGTGTGTTGAGATGTCCAGTTACTGGGAAAGGGCTGAGCAAGAGAAGCTGTCTCATCCTTCCTGTGGGAGAGTGGGAGGGTAATATGCTCTCAGAGGGGCCATATGCTCTCACAACCATTAGTAGTAGTGATTCCTCAGGTGGGAACACTTCCTACAGGCCTTCCACACTTGCCTCCTTGGCTTGGCCAGCCAGTGGGAGGGCCAGCCTGGAAATACCAGCACAGTAATTTCACTATGTATAATAGTATTCACTATGTGTTGTAGTATTTATTGGTTTTTTTGCCCTCGGCCTTCTTCCCACTTCAGGCTGCTTCAGGCAAGTGCTTTCTCTGCCTTTGAGTTTGCAGAGTCGCTAGAATAACAGAGCCCTGCACCTGAAAAGTGCTTTTATGCTTTGCCATGTCATAAACATTAAATAACCAAAAGGC